AATGGGAATCTCAGAACACTTAATTGTTCTCATGTGAAACCTATACACAGATCAAGAAGTAGCTGTTCAAAAAGAATAAGGGGACATACATGGTTTAACATCAGGAAAGGTGCATGTCAAGTTTTTTATCCTTTCTCCCTACCTGTCCAACCTGTTCAATCTGTATGCTGGGCAAATCATTAAAAAAGCTGAACTGTTTGGGGGGAGGGGTGGGCAGGGAGAATAATGCAATAACAAACGAATGGAAATCCAAAATATCTGAAAACTTTCATTAAAATAAAAAAAATAAAAAGGAAAAAAGCGGAACTGTATGAGGAAAAATGTTATGTCAGGATTGGAGGAAGACACACACAACCTTGCCTGCAGAAAGTGAAGATGACATGAAGCACATACTGAAGGTCAAATACTACAGCCTTCAGTATGGATTACACTTCAACATCAAAAAACAAAACTCCTCACTTCTGAACCAACAGGCAATGTCATTAAAGATGGAGAAAAAATTTGCATTGTCAACAATTTCACTTTACCTATAATTAACATCCATGGGAGCAGCCATAAAGAAATCAAAAGATGTGCTGCCTTAGGAACATCTGCTATCAAGTCAGTCAGTTTAAAGACAAAGGTGCATCCAAAATCATGGTATTTTCAACTGCTCCCTAAGCACTGGGAAGTCAACCCATGAATAAGGAAGAATGGTGAATGCCTTTAAATTGGGTGTTGGTGAAGAGTAGTCTACTAGGTCTTCCAAAAGAACCAACAATTCATCTCAGAAGTGCAACTAGAGTGGTCACTAGAGGCAAGGATGGTGAAACTTTGTCTCACATATTTGGGGCATGTTGCCAGGAAAAAGCCATCATGGTGGGAAAGGCAGAGGGCCATCAAGAGAGGAAAACAAGTAGACAAAATGCCACCGTAACTGTAGCAGTGAGCTCAGTATGGTAGAGATCCTGTGGATGGAGAACTAGGTTCTGACCTGCGAAAATAGAAGGCTGAGAGTTGGAGTTGGCAGGGCAGACACTAAGAACAACACATTAGATACTGGCCTTTATTCACTCACTTTTCTTTTGGACAACTTCTAATTTTCCTAACTTCATACTTGGTACATTCTATGTTCCAAGTACTAACAGATATTGCAGCTGTTTTCTCTCATCTTGAGTTTTGTCACATCAGCAAATCAAGGTTGTGAAATCTCTCCCTCACATCTACATTAGTGAGGGCAGTCCTACTTCGTGGAGCTAACTCTTAATATGAGTCCTTTCCACCCTGAGTAGTTCAGCTTCCAGCACTGACTCAGACAATGTTCCACTGATTTGTCTCAAGTTTTCACTGGTCTATCCATTTGTAAAGTAGTCTTTCATACGTTGCTGAACTGCTGGAAGCTATGTCATTAGTACTTCAAGTGCCAGCAGGATTACTCAGGGTAAATAGGCTTCAGCAGAGCTTCTAGACCAACTCTGTTTGGGGAAGAAGAACCTGGTAATCTACTTTGGGGAAAATGGCCATTAAAAACCTCATACACAGGCCACTATACAGGATAAGAGTTATCAGAGGAGGGGAAGGAGTGACACAAGACATCTTCAACGAAGTGGCATCTACACTGAGAATTAAAGAGCAATCTATCCACTGAAAGAATTGACATAAGAGCTTTTGCCTAGAGCCCATAAGCAGGCAACGAATTGAGGAAATAAAAGAAGTTGACAAGAATCAAGAAATTCTAAGGGTACAACTTTTTTAATTAGGCTATAGAGTACAATGAAAAATAATCTGTCCACATACTTCATATTTCTCACTCTTTCTATAAAGATTAAGATCAGTTACAATATAGGTAGTCTCCAATTTATGATCGGGTTACCTTTCAATAGCTGTCATAAAGTGGTTCTGACATAAAATGTCTTATTATTTATTACCTTTATAAAATCAAGCTTTGTCTTTGGGGGCTGGCATGAAAAATTTAACATCAGCAAATTATTAATTGAAACACTGTATGCAATATACATTATTGTTGTTGTTATGTGCCATCTAGTCGCCTGTGACTCATAGCGACCCTATGTACAACCCTGCTCTATCTGTTGCCAATCTTATTGTCTCTGACATGTCCATCCCCATTACCCCAGTGACTGAATTAATCCATCTCGTCCGGGGTCTTTCTCTCCTGCACTGTCCCTCCATCCTCCCAAGTGTGACTCCCTCTCCAAGGACTGGTCCCTCCTTGCAACATGTCCAAAGTATGTCAGACAGAGCTTCAGAATCCTTGCCTCCAAGGAGCAGCCTGGCTTCACCCTCTCTAGGATGAATTTGTTTGTTTTCTTAGCAGTCCATGGTATATGCAATAGTCTTCTCCAACACCAAAGCTCAAAGGCATCAACTCTATTCTATTATCCCTAGTCACTGTTCAGCTCGCTGATGCATTTAAGTAACTGCAAAGACCATGGCCTGGATCAGGTGCACCTTAGTATCCAGACTGACATCATTGCTCTTCAGTACTTTGGCAAGGTCTCTGACAGCAGACTTTCTCAATGAAATTAGTCTTTTAATTTCCTGGTTGCTGGTACCAAGAGTGTTGACTGTAGAGCCAAGCAAACTAAAGCTGTGAACAGTCAATAAATGTACTTTCTGCTCAACTTCCTTAACAATAAAAATTAACACTTAGTAAGTGTTGATTTCTGTAACTCAAATACATTTTAAGTCTGGGGCTAGCTGTAATATTTGAGCTACCAAAGTTGATTGCTTTGTGCCACAGACTACCAACATTATATTTTCACATGATAATGGAATTATTATTGCTGTCAATAAATCCAACTAGGTCAGAAAACCAATCTAGATTTCCAATACTTTCAGAAAGTACTGTTTCCAAACAAATGAGAAGTTGATTTTGCCTCCTAATGATTCTCTAAACAAGTGTCAAGCTGATTCTCCCAGTGATCCTCTCAGCTTTTTAAGGCTCTAAATCTTTACAAGACATGCTCAGCATTGTCCTGCAGAACATCTCATGGATGTGAACCAGAGACCTTCCAATTAACAGCTAATCATGTAACACACGATGCAACCAGAGTACTATCTACAACCATTTCTAATTCCAATTATGGTATTATTCAGGGTTCAACTGCTAACAGTAGCTAGTTTGAGAACAAAGAAAATGATCACAAAGTCAGAAACCAATAGAAGGCTAAAAAAAGTAGACTATATCAAGTTTGCAGTTGTAGTCAACTCAATGGCACCTATTACCAGCATGCATACAAACATACATACAAAGAGCTCTGATGGCCTAGTGCGTAAGGAGGTGAACCAACAACTCAAAGTCAGGCAGTTCAAATTCACCAGCTGCTCCTCGGGATAAAGATAGGCAATCAGCTCTCACAGACCAACTGGACAGTCAGCTCTGGCTCAACAACAATGACTGACTGCTTGATAAGAGACTCTGGGCATATTCTTGGAATAGATCAGTCCTTAGAAAAGGGCATTATGCATGGAAAAGTAGGTTAGCAGAGGAGAGGAAGATTCAACCAAATCAGATGGCCTGACACAGGGAACAGCAAAGTCTGTAAAGAAGGGCAAGGTTTTGCTGGCTGTTCACAAGGTCAGTATAAATGAGAGCTGACTTGATAGTGCCTAAAGCAATTACAAAACCAGGCCTTCTTGCCCTATAATCAGTCAAGAAGCTGTAGAATTAATTTTAGAAGTGTCTTCCACTCCATAACCTTAAAAAAACCCGAACAGTGAAATCCAAATTACATTCAGAATGCTAGGAGAAGAAAACTGAAAATTCCCTTCTTATTTCCAAACTTCACATGAGTATGTATCTGTGACAGAAGCAAAGCAAAACAGTATTCAGAACTCTAGACACCAAGGAGTATGACACATTTATTTTGTAGATTTACAGTTTCTGTAGTCTAGGTCTGAATGATATTGGCCACTCATTAAAAACACAAAACAAACCAAAACCTAAAATCCTGGTTTTCCTGCCTCATTGCAGGACCAGATGACTCAGTAGTAGGCCCAGGATATGCACATGGCACACACTGCTTGCTAAAAGCAGAGGGACTGAAATACTTTCTGATAAAACACACATTACACACTACAACATTATGAGAACAAGTATTCTCACAACTGGACTAATCACCAACATCACGATAAATCCAGAAACCAAGCTGCACATTGGACTACTACTCTGTTGCAAAAGACCTCTTCAAGATGTCATAAAGCAAAGATATCCCTTTGAAGACTATATAGTGCACCTGACCAGTCTTTCTCATTTAAAAAAAAAAAAAACCCAAACAAAAAAACCCAACAGAAACCCAAGGTCTTTTTCATCACCTCACGTGCATAAAAAGCTGAGCCAAAGAACAGAGAAGAACTGATGTGTTTGAATTATGTTGCAGGAAAAGAGTATTACATTTATCAAGGACTTTGAGAAGACTGAAAAATTCTGTCTTAGGAGGAGGACAGCCAGAATATTCCTTAAAAGAGACAGTATCATACATCATCACACATACTCTGGACATGTTAAAGGCATAAAGCAGAGCGTCAATGAAAAAAGTCCAAGACCCCACACCAAGATGAACTGATACAGTGGATTCAAACATGGCAATGACTGTGGAGATGGTAAAGGACTGGGCAAAGCTTCATTCTATGATTTGGTTTAAAGATTACTTCATGGACAATTTCAATTACTTTAACTTCTAAAAAATTACCTCAGGGCAATCGTTTTCTTGGAAGGTGTTTATCTTCAGAGCTTTATGAAGACTTAGCTCCATTAGGATTCTGACATCATGCTCTATAATCTCTGCCCCTTTTCTACCAGAAATTTTTTATAAAATCTGTGCTAAAGATATTCCATATTGGTGGTGTCAAATGTTTTAGGTGCCATCGAGTCATCTACAACTCATAGTGATCCTATGAATATTGCTAGAAGGGCACTACTATTCAGTTCTTCTAGTTTCATGATAAAGAAGGTATTTTAAAAGAAACCCTTGATACCAAGAATACAGAATTCAACTTACAGTGCGAGCACATTTCCAAAGGGTAACTTGCCTCATTTCCCTAAAAGAAAAGGGGGGGGAAAAGGAAATTATTAGTAAAAAAGACATAAATTTCTTTCAACTATTAAACTTATATATTAGCTGAAGTAACAAAACAAACTTTACAGGTATTTTTCATTTACTTTAAAAACTGTCACAGAAAGAGCTCTCTGACCAAACAGCCCTGGTTCATGGCTCTACTACTCACAACTGGGAAAATCTAGGCAAACAGTATCCACGTTTCATTAAAATATAAGTCTTTTTAATACTTTAAATATATTGTCAAATTTTAAAACACTGGAACTCTAACTTCACTTGCTAAGTGAACTTATTTTAGGAAGCTTAGCATAAACCTTTTCCTAACATTAACTGAACAGCTTTCTCAAAGTATAAACTGAGTTACTGAAAAGAATAAAAACCTGTCAGCAAACAGAACTTTCTACATGCTGTCCATGTGAAATTAAAATATCAACAGAGGAAGTTGAGTTCAATAAGCCAGTCACTTGAGCTCATTTCAAGCTTTTCGACTCAAGAAAGTCTTCTCTCACAATAGGTTCTATGGTAATATAATGAAACTAAACTTCAAATTTATTTTGTAAAAAGTGTAATTGTGACTTTTCTATATAAGAATGCTATGTGAAATTTATTAACTTTAGGAAATAAAGTGACCCAAAAACAAAAGTATAAAAATATTACAGACCTGGTCCAATGCCTACATTAAACACTTTTGAAGAATAGGCCCAAATTATCAAGCTATCTCATAGAAGACGACACCATTTGAAGAGTTCTAAATCTGAATAAAAATTCTGAGTAGAATTCATAAGGTAAACCATTAAGATGTCTTTAAAAGGAGCTCTGGTGGCCTAATGGTAAGGAGCTGTGCTGCTAACGTTCAAATCCACCAGTTGCTCTAAGGGAGAAAAATGGGTAATCTTAGTCTGTGCGATCAACTGCTTCCAAAATCACACTGGAGAGTCAGCTATGCGTCAGTTCAGATTTAACTCACAGTTGACCCTCCAGCAGGCTTTCAGAGGCAGTTAATCGCATGGGAGGAGACTCTCCATCCTTCTCTCATAGAGCAGTTGGTGGATTCAAACTGCATACCTTCAAGATTGCAGTGCAGCTTCCTACTACTGGGCCACCTGTGCGATAAGAAATAGTGTTGCCATCAGAAAGGAACATGGTTCAAATCCACCACTTGCTCTGTAGGAGAAAGATGGGCAATCTCCTCCCACACAATTTACTGCATCTGAAAACGCACTGGAGAGTCAGCTATGGTTCAGTTCAGACATGCCAGTACACAACAACATAAAATTTTAAGTAATTAAGTTTTCAACATTCAATGTAAAATTTAGAGTACCAAGCATTCTATAAGCCATATATATAATCTTGGTTCTGCCAACAATAGCAGTAAGTGTACAATGGGACTAATATATGAATAATATATATCTATATTCTAAAAAGCTATTAAGAGTGGACTGTAAGGGGGGAGGGGAGGACTCAGTCTGACTAGTTAATAAATTCTTTAAAAGTATGTCTAATAACATCCTTTTACAATCGGAGATCGATCGAACACGCAATCAAGATGCATTGATAATAATGGGTGACTGGAATGCAAAAGTTGGGAAAAAAGAAGAAGATTCAGTAGTTGGAAAACATGGACTCGGTGACAGAAATGCAGCTGGAGAGAGAATGATCGAATTTTGCACAATGACTTATTCATAGCAAATACATTTTTTAAGAGACATAAAATGCAGGTTATACACTTGGATTTCACCAGATGGTATGCACAGGAAT